GTTGTTATTAATTTGATTATTCCCTAGTGACATCTACAGCATTATTGTCATAACAAGAGCTTAATATTAATTCTGATCATTGCTTCTAAGTATAATAATGTACTCTGAAATTTAATTAAAATGTACATAAAATGAGGAAAATTTATATAAGTGCATATGATTAAATTGGAATATAGACTTCAGCCATTATACAAGAAATTTGTAAAACAGTAAAAGTTGTGTGCCCTTCACACAGCTATAAGACATTATTAAGATGATAGTTTCTCATTGTTTTTACCATACTTTTATTACCATAGGTTACTATAGAGAAATCCAGTCTTGACTTGGAGCTCTGTGAGCTTGAAGAAGCAGCTTATCTTGTACTACAAGAGGAAGAGGAGGAGGGAGAGACTAGCAGCAGTAGTGATAGTAGTGATGGAGAGACAGGGAGTCAAACTGAGAGTTCTTCTGAGTCATCGGAGGATAAAATATCACAGACAAGCCCTAGCAAGGAGGAGGAGGAGCCACTAGCTGTTACTGTGGACATGGAAAGACTTTCTATTAGTAAAGAAATGGGAGAGGAAAGGTCTTAATTAAGGAACATTGTGCATTAAGATAGAGTGTTGTGTAGTATCATTAAATTCGAATCTATTATAGGCATTAAAATGCTTGTCATTAGCCTTGCTAGCAGCCTTAGCTTAGATCACTGCAAGAAATATTAGTCGTTTTATGACGTAAGATGCCTAGTTGTACTTTTTACTGATTCTCTAACTCTTTGTTCCTTATAAAGGAGGTATTAGTTATTGTAGGTTGGAGCCATCAAGTTTGGGTTCAATTCCTAATTGGTAATGATTATCCACAGATCAAAAAGCATGCAATATTATTCATTGCATGACATAGATCTTAGCATAGTTAGGGTGGGGCTCTCTTCTGCACGCTAACAAACAAACAATAATGTCTGCTTCTGGAGGTAGACGACGAAGCTTTGGTCTTGGGCCCCAGCGAAAAATAGCTGTCCCTGGAGCTGGAGGTAATGGCGGAGTATTACTAGGTAGTCCGCCTACTAGGAAGATGGCTGAGCCTTCTAAAAAGAAGAAGGTGAAGAGAAAGAGTGTTGGAGAAAGAGTAATGGGTATGTTCCACTTGAAGAAAAAAGTAGAGGGCGAGCAGAAAGCTACATTACCGGCGGTGCCTCATTCTCCACAGCAAGCTCTGAGAAACAACCTCCATTCTTTGCCGACCAGCAGTGGTAGCTCTCCCAGGCTTTCCTCACGCTTGACACCGACACCTTCTCCTCTTCGATCTCGTGCTCTCAGACAACAAGTCTTCGCTGCTGAGCGGCAGAACTCGCTTGAAGCTGTCATGCATGAGTATGGATATAAGAAAGATGGGACCCCTATGCTTGGAAGAAAGAAAATGCAACCAGGTATATAATCATACTTATCACTACTTGATTCCTCACTGTGCTGCAGCAGTCATTGCTGCATTGTGAAGCTATTTTTATTAAGAATTATCCAATGATATGTGTCTATGTATAATGATGCCATCATTCGTCTAACATTGAATTATTTTTATCATTTATTTATAGAAGATAAAATGGTTCGATTAAAGATAAAATCCAATGGGAAAGGTAAGTACATTGACAAATGCATGAACCACACCCTGCAGCGTTACATGTGCATCAGCTAAGTAGATCTAAGTAATGATGCCAACAATTTGATCTTCTTTGAGGCTTTTAAAATTGATTACTGTAACTTGAATTTTGAATATTCAGTGATTGTAAATAATGCATTTATTGTGTAGATCAAGATGACCCGATTACTTTAATCAAAGATGATGAAGGAACCGGAATTCAACTAAGCACTGGCCTACCTCCTTTTACTGTGACCTACATTGAACCAGGTACAATAATAATAATAATAATTGTCTATGACTTTATGGCGATCCAATGCTCAAATGTGGCTGGGTTGCGCTTCCATCCTGCCTCCCCAAGTATTGTAACTATTAATTGTTATTGTTTTTTTTGTATTTAATTTTAGTTTAGCTTTCTGTTCTGTCTGTCTTTTGTTTTCCTTATGAGCTTTCCCTTTTTGTCTCTCTCTTTTGTCCATCCTATTGTGTTTGTCTTAATATAATAATAATAGTAATAATAATAATAATAATAATAATAATAATATTAAATAATGACGATAATAATGACAATAATAATGAATAAATAAATATTGATTTGTTAATAGAAAAATATTGGATTTCAATTTTTGGTTTTTGCCAGTAATAAAATAATGTAACTGTAACTGATTAGCATTTTAAATTAGATTATAGCAATTGTTTTAACAACTAATGGACCTTAATAACATGTAGCACATACTGGACACACATGCATGCGTACATTTATGTACATAACAAATGAACTTTCACTGATCATTAAGTTGCAGTTGCACTATAAACTCACACACACACACACTTAGCAAAGCATTGTTAATGATACATATAAACTGACTGTTGTTAGAATAATGAAATTACCCTCTTGTACCATCCCACACTTCACTCCAATTCCCTTTAATGAGTAAACAGCTATGACTTTCATAAACAGCTTATGACAATTTCAAATGCAAATAAATACAGTATACAGTTTAAAATATTGACTGGAGTTGTATTTGCGAGTTTTATATTACATTGGGCTGTTTTTATTGGCAATTTAGTGGACAGATTGTCATGGAACATAATAGGCTCAGAGTGAACTAAAATAATGATGATTGTGTAATTGGTGGCTGCTTATAGCATTCCACAAATTAGAGACAGGAGTAAATTTACAAATTTGCTCATTATGAGTTAGTAAATCATATTTTTATAAAAAGCCACACACAAAAATTATTAATAGCTTTCATTAATAAACTAACTATTATTCTTTATTATTATTATTGCAGGTAGTAAAGGAATGCTGGCCGGTATAAGAGTCGGTGATGTTATAATAGAAGTGAATGGTAAGGATTGTAGTCTAATGAATGATAACCTTGAGCTCACTGATGTCATGGAGCTGAAGTCAATAATCACTCATGTACCAGGAAGTAGACCAGGGAGTAGACCAGGGAGTAGACCAGGAAGTAGACCAGGGAGCAGACCAGGGAGTAGACCAGGGAGTAGACCAGGAAGTGCTATAAGTATGTTTATTATTGTCATTATTTTGATTCACCACCTCTCTCTCTCTTTCTCTCTCTCCCTCTCTCTCTCTCCCTCTCTCTCTCCTCCCTTTCTCTATTTCACTTTTAACCTCTCTCATTCTATTATTTATAATCATTATTATTATCATTATTTATGTGTCTCTTATTTCACGACCTTTTTCTCTCTTTTTACCTCTCTCTCATTCGTATTAGGTGGACGCAAGTATATCAATGGTGGACACATAGGAATAACTTCAATTGTATGTGTATACATTAAATATTATTGTTATTGCTAATGTACTAGAATTATATGGTAACAATTACCAATCTTTGAATCACTAATCGTTAATGTTGTACATTCATGGGAATAATGCTGAATACATAATTAACATTAATTTTATTTATTTTTATTTTTAGGATTCAGACACTGATAGTACTGATGAAGGTGATGATGAAGAGGACCATTATTGGAATGGAAATGGACAAAAAAGGAAAAAGAAAATAACAGTAAATCATTGCATCATGTAGAGTTTTATGAGTGCTTTAAAAAATTTTTGAAGATTTTGCATGCTTTAAAAATACAGTGCAGATACTTATTGTCGTCATTATTGTTATAGAAAGGTGTTTGGAATAGAATAAAAGCTGAAGGTCTTCAAGACAGTGACTCAGAATCTAGTGGATCCTTTGTAAGTAACAAAAATCCTCAAGGATCATATACTGTTGACTACTGTTGCAATTGTTGCATTCACTTTCTGAGAAATACAATGTATATAGTCCATGGTTTTTTTCAAAAAATGGCTCCAAAGTCACCCCAATTTTTTATTGCATTTTCTGATACGTATTGTTGTCCTTATGCTGTGTAGAAAGTTTGAGGTGATTCCAACTTCAATTTTTCAAGTTACAGCCATTTTAAGAAAATGACAAAATTCTAAATAATACCCAAGGCTAAAAGCCCATGGTTTTTTCAAAAAATGGCTGCTGTGTAGAAAGTTTGAGCTGATTCCGACTTCAATTTTTTAAGTTACAGCCTATTTAAGAAAACACCAAAATTCTAAAAAATACCCAAGGCTATAGCCCATTGTTTTTTCCAAAAAATGGCTCCGAAATCACCCCAAATTTTTATTACATTTTATGATACATATTGATGTCCTTATGCTGTGTAGAAAGTTTGAGCTGATTCCGACTTTAATTTTTTTAGTTACAGCCATTTTAAGAAAATGCCAAAATTCTGAAAAATACCCAAGGTATAGCCCATGGTTTTTTCCAAAAAATGGCTCCGAAATCATCCCAAATTTTTATTACACTTTATGATACATATTGATGTCCTTATGCTGTGTAGAAAGTTTGAGGTGATTCCAACTTCAATTTTTTAAGTTACAGCCTATTTAAGAAAACGCCAAAATTCTAAAAAATACCCAAGGCTATAGCCCATTGTTTTTTCCAAAAAATGGCTCCGAAATCACCCCAAATTTTTATTACATTTTATGATACATATTGATGTCCTTATGCTGTGTAGAAAGTTTGAGCTGATTCCGACTTTAATTTTTTTAGTTACAGCCATTTTAAGAAAACGCCAAAATTCTGAAAAATACCCAAGGCTATAGCCCATTGTTTTTTCCAAAAAATGGCTCCAAAATCACCCCAAATTTTTATTACATTTTATGATACATATTGATGTCCTTATGCTGTGTAGAAAGTTTGAGCTGATTCCGACTTCAATTTTTCAAGTTACAGTCATTTTAAGAAAATTCCAAAATTCTGAACATTTTTGCACGAAGTTTGATTATTTATTTTATCATTTATTTTATTTTGAGCCTATTTTTTGTGTATTAGGTTAATCTGGTGATGGAGAGCTCCAGTGATGAAGTAAGTCAAATCCTAGCTGTCACATCACAAAATTAACTGTTATTGTTTTTATTTGTTTTTTTGTAGGATGATTTTATTGACAAATGGAATGAACAAGTTCTTAGTAAAGAAAAAGAGGTAAATATTGCTGCTTGCAATCCAATTAGAATAGTTATTATTATTTTTGAAAGATTAATGTATGTAATACAGATGTAATAGGACCAACGTTAAATGCCATCACTATTACTGGGAATTTGCTAATATTATACTTCATATTTTTAATTGTTTTGCGTTATAGAAACCTTAGAATTTAATGATAGAATTACACTTTGATTTAAACTTTACATTACATTTAATATTATATCTTTATAAATTCACTATTAATTTTCTCACACACTCTCTCTCTCACACACACTCATTATTAACAGATTCAAATGGATGACAGACAATGGAGACAATTGCGTCAAAAACAGAACCTCATATTCAACAGAGATGCCCCATCATTCATGATCAGTAGCCCCCAAAACAACAGTCTCTCACATCAGCATCAGCTCCTTCCGTCCACTAATCCACTGACCGACGAACCACTAGCATCGAAAAAGAAAAGACACTTTAAATGGCCGTTTACCAGGCCGGTCACCACGGCTAAGCCCCCGCCTCATAAACAGGTTAAAAAAACTCATAACGCAGCTAATTCTCCAAGGACTAGGAGTCCACTAGAGTCTGTGCTGATGGCTGATTTGTCAGGGGCTAAGATACTCAAGTCAACTGATGATAATGCTTCAAACACCGGTGACAGTGATGATAGCTCATTGTATGAGAGGTAGGTGCAATAGATAATATTTAGAGTGAAACCTCTTTATGAATGAATGGTTTTAGATTATTGCTTGTCCCATATGTAGCCATGTGTAGTGGGTTTATTTAATTATTTATTTATTTTTCATGGCTGTAGTATGGTGTCCTTTACAAAGGGGATTTCACTGTATTATTATTATTACTAATAACTATTATTTTTATAATTTTTAAAGTTTATTAATTGTACCATTATTAATTGATTATTATAGTTAAGTTAGTAACAGTTAACTAAAGATGGTGCTCTTATTATTATTCTTATCATCATTATTATTACTATTATTATCATATATTCTTGTTATTAGGCCTCATATATTAGAAAAGGCAACAGTAGAAGGTAGACCAAAGAAGCCTTCCCATTCAAGAGATTCAGTCCCCAAGAGGCCATTGCGATCACAGTCTTTGATAGAGAAAGGACGTAAGCCGCAAATAAGAATAAAGAAGCTATCAAAAGAAGCACCTCCAGGCAAGAAAGATCATCATAAATGATGTTAAAGATATAAATGCTTCTACTATTAATAATAATAACAATAATTTAATGCTGAGTTGGCCCATTGTTCTGCCCCTCCCCTATCTGTGGCAAGTTTCTGTCACAAATTTAGGGAAGAGAATAAATGTGAAGAGAGTCTAGTTGAACAAGTACAAGTTGTTTTTGACACCTTGTTAGCACCTTGTAATATGAGTGAGGTGTGAACAAGCCCATTTCCTTTGTCACAATTTTTCTTGTATTTTTTAATGTTAAAATAATTCATTCTTACTATTACCAAGAGCACAGTACTCTTGCTATTACTACTACTACTACTATTATTATTATTATTATTATTATTATTAAATAAGTTGTTGTTGTTGTTGTTGCTGTTATTGTTGTTATTGTCATTATTATTATTATTTATTGTATTATTGTAGATATTGGTGTGGAAAGGACTGCTCCATCACTGGGAATAGCTGATGGAAGGAACAAGAGAGATCTTGCAAGAGCTCGTAAAGTACGAAGACCAACAACCAGAGGAAAAACGGGAGGAGAGAAAGAAAGAGAAAGAGGAACTACATTATTAACCAGCCAGTCAGGAGATGAAGTGGTAAGTAATACAGCCTCCATGTAATTGGAGGTGTATGTTATAGAGAGTATCCATTAAGAGAAGCTATGCTGTATAACCTCTCTTAATGGACAGTTGGACACTCTCTATAGCGTACACCTCCATTTAACGGACAGCACCTGGTGTACCAATTACATTCCTTACTGTATAAAATAACCTCCACATAAAGGACACCTCTGTACAACAGAGACACTTTCTTGTACCAAAGTATCCATTATATAACACAAGTTCTACAATTTATAGTGCTTCAAAAGTTAATCCTAGGATGATATGCAATATAGTGGTAATGCTGTTTGTTTTATTATATGTAGGTACTACAAGACCAACCATCCAACCAGAAGTGAGTCTGTAAATATTTTGTATCACAGCCTGTGGACACATTCATTTTGTTGTGTTAATGCATGCACACATACAAGGATTTACTAGATATTTTGCTCTGTCATTCTGTAGGCCACAATGATTTATAAATAGTAGCCTATATGTACAAGTACAACTTGGGTACTTTTTATGTATAATGTTATGTCTGATTGATTATGGTTTATGGTTATGGAGTCAAAATACGGTACAGCAGGAAATATTTACGGGGAATTAAATTTTGCGAGTTTGCGATTCCATTTAAAGCGCAAAATTTAAATCTGCAAAATAATGAAATTCATGCATGACCACAGTAGATAATGCTACAATAACTGTCAAAACCGCAAATATTTAATCCGCAAACCAGGTTATTTTTTAAGGATTCGCAAAATTTTTCTCCGCAAAATTAACCAGCTGTACGGTAGTACACTGTATTTAGTCATTGTTTGTACTTGATAATGTATAAATTATTTGCCAGCCTATACCGCATTGAGTGTATAAATTATTTGCCAGCCTATACTGCATTGAGTGTATAAAGTTTTGCTAATATACTTCAAGCTCTTTTACACATAAGTGAGGTTCAAATAACTATTAACATATGAATGAACATCTGCTAATCTACCATACACAAGGGAACTTTTTGTGTGAGATTACTTTCATAAAAGTAAATCATGTTGCCATGAATTGAAAGCTGTTCTATGTCTGGCAATATGTTGCTTGGTTGCTGCCAGCAAGTCAACCTTGTTTATAAAATAAGCATGCAAATTATTTATTGTTTAATTGACATATCATTTAGTGTCTTGTTATATTATCATTACTATTATTGTATTTATTTTTAAACACAGTTCTACAAGTCATCATATAATTTCAAAGACAATCAGTGACCCTGGAAATACTTCTGCTCAGAGCAGCCAACAAAACACTGAGAGAACTCAAAAGGGCATCAAAAGACGCTCAAGTGCTAACTTAGTAGAAGAAGCAGTGAGAAGAAGAAGCTTAGCTCAAAAAGAAGATGAGGAGGAGGAGAAAAAAGTGTCTACTTCTCGTAGGAGAAAGCATGCAGTGCCAACATATGCCATTGAAAATAAACTCACAGCACAAGTAGTTGCTACTGCAGCTGCTATGAAAGCTAAGGAAATGAAGCAAAAGAAAGAGCATAAAGTGAAGGAAACTAATGAAGAGCAAGTGCCTCTTGCTCAGAAGAAGCCGGATAAACTTGCAGTGATGTCTGGTTTTCATCCACTACACAAGAGCAGGTCATTCCAAGATGAGAGAGAGAAGGGAAGTGGAAAGATGCAAGAAGCAACATGGATATCATTAGCAAAGGTAGGAGAGAGAGAGATATGATAATGTGAAGGAGAACTAGAGATGGAAACTGAAGTACATGTAATAGAACGTAAACTGGAAAAGTTTACATGTATGCCTGGTAAAAAGTGTAGCCTGGAGGGCCAATTTGTATAAATTTGACAGAAACACTGATGCTTGATGCCAATTGTAATAGTTTTGAATGCTACACCACCATGCTGTGCTTTTGCATTATTATACCTCTTTTTTAGGCCAAGCATGAGAAAATGACTGAGGAACTCAATCGAAAGGTAATGACCAAAAATTGTATCATAATTTTCATTGTTCTTGAATTTCTTGTTAATATAGAGTGGATCACCACATCATTCTGATAGAAAAGCAAGACTAGGCATTAACAAGTCAGTATCATTACATGATGAAATGGACACTGTCAGAGATGAAGGCTCATCATTTTTAACTAACATTAGATGATCATTAATTTAATTTTTAGTACATCCGTTGTATAGACTTGTCTTAAATGTCTTTTGCCAGTTGTATGTACATGCACCACTTTCATTTATGCATCATAATAATGATAAATAATTATGATTTTTTTAAAAGAAAATTACAATGAAAGATAACCTCATTTTGATTATAGTGAATAATATTATTGAATTACAATTCATACATGAACACCTAATGTGTCTGAAAACTGCCAAGATCTACTGTCCATCATCTCATTTCTTTTTCTTATCCTTTTTATCTTCATCTTTTGATTCGTCTTTGCCATCACCACCCTCAGCCCCATTGCTGTCATTGGTGCCATTGTCACTGCTTCCCCTAAAGTATTGCCAAATGGCAGTGCTTGCAGCTCCAGCTCCTCCACCAGTACCAGCTACAATTGCAGTACTAGTAGCTCCCATACCAGCAGCTCCTATTGATTGTAGTGTAGCTACTATACCGCCAGAAGCTACAGGACCCATTGCTGACATCATTGAGGCACCAATAGACCCAGCAGCTATTCCACCAGCACCGAATCCTAAGGCACTAACAACTAATGGAGCTGCTACCACAGCTGCTGTTCCTCCTACTATGCTTCCACCAACTACAGCAGCTACTTTTAAAGCTGTACTCCCTGTAGATGATGATGGTGGTTCTGGGCCTGACCCTCCAGGGGGTGGTGAAGGTGGTTGAGAATGAGAGGATGCCATGTCTGTAGATGATCTTAGGAAGTTAGTCTAGAGCTCCTTAGGTCAATAGAAAATTAGTGACAACAAATCTCTTTTATTGCAAGCAGTGAGCTGACAGCTAGATAGTTAGCGTTTTGATATGATTGCTGAGTCATCATGCAACTGCATCACGTGGCAGGGAAGTATGATGAGTCAGCAAGCCTAGTGCCTAGAGGGACTTTCCCTTACAATCTCGCATCTACTGATTTGATCCAGAGTTTCCAGACTATATATAGCTCTTGTTTAATAGTTAATACCATAGATAGCAGATTACTGATTGACAAATTTTTGTAAATAATTTATTAATGATGCCAAAAATTTTTTTTACAACATTGAACATGTTAAAATAAAGCCTATACCTAAAAAAAACAATAGAATGAAAAATGTCACTTATGTATGATGATCGTAACTTCTTAAGGATAGATCACTGAATCATGTAGTCTTTGACGTTAGACAGTGTTAACGTGTGAAGTATCCCAATACAGCTGCTCCAGCGTTATAGGCCATACGACCTCCGGCTGCCCCAGCGTTATAGGCCATACGTCCACCTGCTCCAACAGCATTAGTTACAGTATTAGATTGAGCAGCAGCAGTAGTAGCTGCTCCTACTCCACCACTAGTACCAGCTACAATTGCCGTACTAGTAACTCCCATACCAGCAGCACCTATTGATTGTAGTGTAGCTACTACACCACCTGCTGCTGTTGGGGCCCATGCTGACATCATAGAGGCAGCAGTAGAGCCAGCAACTATTCCACCAGCACCGAATCCTAAAGCACTGACTACAAACGGAGCTGCTACCACAGCTACTGTTCCTGCTGCTACCCCTCCACCAACTACAGCTACTGTTGTACCTATTCCTGGCATTACAAAACTCAAAGTCGGCCGCTTTTCTTCAAAAATAGAAATGAGATGTACTTCGAGTGACTTCAGTACTCAACACAACAGTCACAACTGATCGCTGTTTTTGCCTAGTCATGCTGGCAAGTGGGCAGGCCAACTGTAATCTGCCAGCCCCTCCCAAAACAGGTGGGGCTGACTCGTCTTTGCAAAAGAACAACAACGTTGGTTAGAAAGGAACATGCTTTGCTCAGAGAAATGTTTTGCTGCTTTGTTTCTGTCGTATTTGATATTTTCAGTGCAGGCTATAAAGGCTGACTGTCAAGGAGGCGACTGTGAGGAAGAAAAGCAAGATGAAGAATCTGGTTACTGTGACAAAGAAAAGCAAGAAGAATCTGGTTATTGTAACAAAGAAAAGCAAGAAGAATCTGTTTACTATGCTAGATCTATCTGGTCATCAATATTGGTGGGTAATTATATGCGTGAAATTGGAGTATTTGAAGCTGCTGTAATCATAGATATACAAACACATGGATTGGAAACGGGTGAAAAAATAGATGAGGAGGCGTGTTACGCTTACGTAATGGGGCGTATTCATTACTCTGATTTGAATAATTAGAAATTACGGTCAATGGGGCAGAAGCGCATTATTATGTGCAATGTCAATGGCGATGCGTCCAAGATGGAGACCTTGTTACCAGTTAGAGGAGCAGAGGAACTGAAAGTCACTGGGCTCAAACACTTACTTGAGTCCATAGGAAAGTCCATGTAAGGAAGAAAGGTGATTGCACAAATTAATGTTTTCTTACCTTTCGTATAACTCTTTGCCTGACAATTTGTTGTAGAACTACAACAAGGTAATAACAATTAATAAAAAAGCAATTACCACGCCTCTTTTTAGGGCAAACACGTGCGTTTTACAGGAAACCACACCTTCTTGGCAGAAATTGGTATTGAATAATATTAGTGGTAAAATAGAAACCATAGGAAAGAATAGAAAAGTGAAAGAATGCTTTGTCGGCACTTTGATATAATTGCTATTCAACACTTATTTTTTTTTTTTTTTTTTTTTTTGCAAAAAGTTGACTATTTGTTGATGATATTGTAAAGGCAATGAAACTGGTTGTAAGTAAATGCAGCAGCTAAAATCTATGTAGGTGCAAGCAGTTTAGGTGCTTTGGAGCACTTTTAAGTGAATGGAATAGAACTTGCAGGTCTACTGAGAGCTCTTGAAAGGCACAAAGATACTCTATGAAAAACGATCAAAATGGCTGATTGGGCGTGGTCAAGAGGTGTGGCGTCGAATAATTGATGATTTCCATGACAACATAAATAATTCAAAAAGTTGTCCAAAGGATTAATCTTTGCGAATTACTTGTGTAAGGAAAAGGGATAAACCAGCTTTTCTTCCTTACATGGACTTTCCTATGGACTCAAGTAAGTGTTTGAGCCCAGTGACTTTCAGTTCCTCTGCTCCTCTAACTGGTAACAAGGTCTCCATCTTGGACGCATCGCCATTGACATTGCACATAATAATGCGCTTCTGCCCCATTGACCGTAATTTCTAATTATTCAAATCAGAGTAATGAATACGCCCCATTGAGTGGGTGTAGTCATAAGCATACAAACATGGATCAAAATGGCTGCCTTATAGATGTAAAATTACAAACCCTGTTTATTGAATATTTCTTGACTCTAGAGTATCACTGACACTTGATAACAATTCTATAATGTAAACACTAATAGTTGGAACCAAATAATAGATGCATGCATAGTAAGTTTATTAAAAACAATCAATAAATGGCAGTATTCTTCATGGCAGAAACAGCCTTAAAAATATCCGCAGGAACAACACAGTCACTTCATTGTAGCTCATTACATTGGAGAGTTTCCTAGGGAACTATACTAATACCACAGATTTTCTTTATTAGTCGTCATGAAGTTGCGAGAGGGAGAAATTCCACCGTGGGTCCGATTATTCTCGATTCCTCAATAAAACACAGCCTAAGCGAGAAATTAAGATAAGAAACACTCGGTACATTGGATAATAGCCACATCAATCCACACATTTCATCATAATAGCTGTTGTGATATCAAGGTAGAAGCTGGAGGGAGAATAAGATCTCGAATACACTAAAATTGATACATTCCACATAGTACCAGTTCATAAAATACCTTCAAAAGAGAACTTTATGCAGCCAAAGTTTTCCTAGCCCGAAGACTTCTCAAATCTTAAAAAGTCATTAGACAGTTGATTTTCTCAAGACTTTTCTGAAGAATATTCCTGACTATCTATTTTTAACCCGTAACACGCCTAGGTTTTTTCCAGCTGTAGCCTCTCCCATTGAAATGTTAGGTGAAATGATCACGTGATCCCCACCGTTTCCAATCCATGTCTTTGTATATCTATGCTGTAATGTACGTAGGAGCTGGAGTGGCCGCTGCAGTAGGAGCGGCTATACTGTACCATCAACAAATAGCCACCACCGAGGGCAAGGCTCAGAAAGAGAAAATAGCAAGAAACCTAGGCCTAGCAATAATTAACCAAGAAGAAATAGAACCTTACTTAGAAAGTTAGAATTACCTAGACCCTTTACTTTTACTTATTGTATCAATATTAGATAGATTTTCCCATAGATTTTATAACTACGTAATTTATGATTATCCGTTCCGGCGGCGCCGTCCCGGGAAAATCCGAGGGAGTTCCCCGACATGACTATGACAACTGGACAGTGTCAGTGAACAATGGTTTTCTCAAAGAAATATTTTGTTGCTCTGTTTCTTTCTTATTTGATATTTTCAGTGCAGGCTGATGGATGTAAAGAAAAAAAAGAAGATTCTGGTTATAGCTGGTCTACCATTGCATTGTATGGAGGTGTTGCTGTTTTAGGAGCAGGCGTAGCTGTGGCAGCAGCTCCAGTTGCAGTTGGTGCCTTAGGATTTGGCGCTAGTGGAATAGCTTCTGGCTCTATTGGTGCCTCTATGATGTCAGCAATGGGTCCTGTAGCTTCTGGTAGTATAGTTGCTACAATGCAGTCTGTTGGAGCTGCTGGTTTGGGAGCTGCAGGAAATGTTATTGTGGGAACTACTGGAGCAGTTATTGCTACTGGAACTACTGCAGCTGTAACAAAAAAATGACACTTCAATTTGAAATAATTGTTATTCATCATACTGTCATTCCCTTTTTTCGTAGATTGGCTTGCTTTTATATTATTAGTAGTAGTTTTGTTGCCTCAAATACTGATTTTAGTCAAGCTAATTTTGCTAAAATATTTACATCTGTAATTACAGCTATTGTATGTGTGGACAGGTATGTAATGAAATCTGTGACAAGCAAAAGCCCATTCATTGAGACAACCTTTTCACGTTCCTTTTAAGCGCCAGAATGAATACATAACTTGAGTAACCAGTAACCAGTAAACAGTTCATTCTTAAAATCTTTCAATCTGCTTTGTATTGATATAATAATACAATTTTGAAAGTGTGCACAGCCTGCAACCTACTCTCAGACACATGAAAGTATTGCCCCTGCTTAATATGGGAGGGGCTGGCTTTGTCAAAGCTTATCTGCTGCAAAGGGAAGTTCCCCACTCATATTTGGCTGAACTATGGTCTTCTCAAAGAAATCATGCATTGCTTTATTTCTGTCATGTCTAATTTTGTCAGTGCAGGCAAAAACTGACTGTCATGATGGGAAACGTAAATCTGGTGGTGATGAGCTGTTTTATAATGTCATTGGAGTTGTCCCTGTTGAAGCAGCAGCAGCAAAAGCTCCATTAGTAGTCAGTGGACTGGGATTCACTGCTGGTGGGTTAGCTACTAACTCCATTGGTGCCTCTATTATGTCTGCAATGGGAGCTAATGTAGCTATTGGTGGTGTAGTAGCTACACTACAATCAGTAGGTGTAGTAGCTACACTACAATCAGTAGGAGCAGTAGGCCGGCCGACCATGAAGGAAAAGCTGCTGTTTGCATCTACTGGCTCATTACTTAATGCTGTTAATGATTCATCCATAAATTATCCAGGTACATATCTACATGATTCTATTATCGGAAGATGTATAATCCTCTCGTTGGAGCATCTATGGTTGGATCAACAGCAACAAATTGACAATTTTTGATTCAAATGATTAATTATATACATGTACATGTGTGTGACATCTTTTTAAGAACAATAGTTTAGTTACAGTGCATGATTGAGCATGTATGGGTTGTCTAACTTGTCTTGCTTTTTATTGATTTTGTTTAACTAAATGAGGCGGGATATCACAGGGGTTAAACTTGAAAACAAACTGGTTAATTTACTTTCAGTCTGGTATTTTGGCAAAAAGTCAATATAATGATAATTTTGAAGGGTAGTTCATGCAACTCCGTGACATAACTGTCATTGTAATATTCCCAAAAGCAAGAGTACTCTTGTCAAAAGTACATTGTATTCATAATTATTTTAGTACAATAGCCTCTTACTATTCATTGTGACAACAGCAAGAGTATATCAACAACAAAAATAATGATCATAGTAATTTTATTTAAATGATTTGATGTCTTTTGATGTTAATTTTAATGCTCCTCCTTTGAATTGTCCTATTCTACCATCAAGACTTTTAGGAGGTACATCTCTCCAGAATCCAGTCCTATTAAGGATAGATGATTAAAATGTAGTAGGAAAGTTGTGCTGGTTATTAAATACAGTCAAGCCTGTATTTTGGACTGGGCACTCTGAAATAAGGACACCTCTGTCGGCATCAGGACAGGTATATAGTATCAGTATAAATGTGTATTAATGAACCACCAAGGGCAAGGCTCGGAAAGAGAAAATAGCAAAAAACCCAGACCTAGCAATAATTATAATTATAACCAAGAAGCAAATAAAACTTTGCTTAGGACTAGTCTACCTTTTATTGTCATTCTTGAAAAAGTATTATTAATTCATTTTATATTTTGCCAACTATTATTAAAGTTATTAAAGTTAAATAGCCTAAGACTAAGAGTGGGCATGGACGTGTGACATGGCATGTACAGTACACAGCTGGTTGAAATTTAAAGACTGTTGTCACAATGCTTTTCTCAAAGAAATATTTTGTTGCTTTGTTTCTTTCTTATTTGATATTTTCAGTGCAGGCCAATACTAGCTGTCCTGATGGATGTAAGGAAGAAAAAGAAGAATCTGGCTATAATTATTGGCTTATTGGAGCCGCAGCTGTTGGAGGAGGTGTTGTAGCTGTGGCAACCGCTCCAGTGATAATCAGTGGACTAGGATTCACTGCTGGTGGAATAGCTGCAAATTCCATTGCTGCCTCTATGATGTCAGCATGGGGCCCAACAGCAGCAGGTGGTGTTGTATCTACATTGCAGTCTGCTGGAGTTATTGGGCTATCTGTTGGAGCCAAAGTTGGTATCGGAGCTGTTGGAGCAGTAATAGGAGCTGCTGTTGGAACTGCAGCAACAAAACTTCAATCAAATGGTACAGATGACAATTGAGTTTTTGTCTGTAGATTAGCATTGATTGAGTCATTCCTTTTTGTCATTTAGCTGCATTTATAATACTTTTAGGTCAAGAGATTTCTTTTATAAGGAGACTAATGGATTCAACAGAAAACTTAATCTATCAGTTGTACTGTATCACCTTGATATTGATTGATATTTGTGAATTTTTTATATTGATATTTGATACCTTGATTGATATTCGTACCATATTAAATTGTATTAATTTTTATTAAAATAATTTGACTAAACTGTCCAATTCTAAAATCAAGACTTCAAAATGTGTTAAATTAATTAACAGCGGGGCGTTGTACACTAATAAAAATTTATAGCTAGGGAATGTCTCCCTGGGGAATGAATGACTAGCTGCTGAAGTATTGCCCCTCCTTAAAGGGAACTTCCCCACTCAGACTTGGCTTATAATAACTATGTTGTTCTCAAAGAAATGCTGTGCTTTATTTCTGTCTTGTCTAATACTGTCAGTGCAGGCAAAAACTGACTGTCGTGATGGGAAATGTAAACCTGGTGATGATAACTTGTTTTATAGCATCATTGGAGGTGCTGCTGTTGGAGGAACAGCACCTGTGGCAGCAGCCCATTAGTAGCTGGTGCCTTAGGATTTGGTGCTGATGGATTAGTTACTGGTCCTGTTGGTGCTTCTGTGATGTTAGCAATGGCTCCAACAGCAGCAGGTGGTGTAGTAGCTACATTGCAGTCAATAGGAGCTGCTGGACTAGCAGTACGCTGAGTGAATGAGATCTTAAGCCCACTTGTGAGCAGTATCTATGCTGTGTTCAATTTTACCTTAGGTGATCCAAGTACTCCTATAAGAGGTTTTGTTATCTTAATGGAGCCACTGCCACAAATTGACAATAACTTTTGACTCAAACAATATGTATTTTACTTTTGTAAGAACAGTAGTTTGGTTTAGTTTACAGTGTATGATTGATCATCATACATGTTTTTTGATTTGCTTTTAACTTCAGCTAAACGTAAAATATTACAGTATAAACAATCTATCGTCACAGAGATTAACTTGAATACAAATTGGTTTAATTTTAGTCGAGTGCTTTTGACAATAAGTCAATAGACTCAATACAAGAGAAATTTTAAAGGAGCACCAGCCAGCTTATATTCATGCAACCCTTGAACTGGGCCCAATGTGTTATGATGATATTCCCAAAAGTACATTGTATTCATAATTTAGTACAATAGCCTCTTACCATTCATGCACTGTGACAACAGCAAGAGTATATCAACAACAAAAATAATGATCATAGTAATTTTATTTAAATGATTTGATGTCTTTTGATGTTAATTTTAATGCTCCTCCTTTGAATTGTCCTATTCTACCATCAAGACTTTTAGGAGGTACATCTCTCCAGAATCCAGTCCTATTAAGGATAGATGATTAAAATGTAGTAGGAAAGTTGTGCTGGTAATTAATATGAATACATACAGTCAAGCCTGCTATTGTGGACACTCTAAAATAAGGACACCTCTATAATCAGGACAGGTAGTATCAGTCCCAATACAATAGTAATGTGTATTAATGAACCTCTGAAATAAGGACAGGTTCATAATTAGGAGGGTATTATCATAGATATTAGGGTACAGGAAATCTATGGTATTATTGGGTCCCAATAGACAGGTTTCACACAGCATACAGTGCATTTATATAAATGTTACTACTTAATTATATTACTGTAATATACTGTATGTGTCCTTGTACATACTTTGATGCTCTTCTTCTAGTCTTAGTCTTTTTACTGGTAACTTGTGATCCTGTCAATTCCAACTAGAAACAAAAAAGGAAGAAATTATATACATGCACTGTATTTGACGTCTTTCTGCTATGTAGAAAGTTTGAGCTGATTCCAAAAAAATTTTTGAGTTCTTGAATGTTAAGCCAATTTTTAAAAAAGCAAAGGCTATAGCCCAGGGTTTTTTTCAAAAAAATGGCTCCGAAATCACTCCAAATTTTTATTAATTTTTTGATACATATTGATGTCCTTATGCTGTGTAGAAAGTTTGAGCTGATTCCGACTTCAATTTTTAAAGTTACGGCCATTTTAAGAAAATGCCAAAATTCTGAAAAATACCCAAGGCTATAGTCCATGGTTTTTTCAAAAAATGGCTCCAAAATCACCCCAAATTTTTATTACATTTTTTGATACATTTTGATGTCCTTATGCTGTGTAGAAAGTTTGAGCTGATTCTGACTTCAATTTTTAAAGTTACGGCCATTTTAAGAAAATGCCAAAATTCCAAAAAACTAGCCCATGGTTTTTTCAAAAAAATGGCTCCGAAATCACCCCAAATTTTTATTACATTTTTTGATACATATTGATGTCCTTATGCTGAGTAGAAAGTTTGAGCTGATTCCGACTTCAATTTTTAAAATGCCAAAATTGAAAAATACCCAATGCTATATAGCCCATGGTTTTTTCAAAAAATGGCTCCAAAATCACCCCAAATTTTTATTACATTTTTTGATACATATTAATGTCTTTATGCTGTGTAGAAAGTTTAAGCTAATTCTGACTTTAATTTTTAAAGTTACAGCTATTTTAAGAAAATGCCAAAATTCTGAAAAATACTCAAGGCTATAGCCCATGGTTTTTTCAAAAAATAGCTCTGAATTACCCCAAATTTTTATTTAAAATTCTGATGTTTTTATGCTATGTTAAAAGTTTGAGCTAATTTTGACGTCAATTTTGCAACTTAAAAGTATCTTAAAAGTCAATTTCTGAAAAATACTCTGTACTACATGTACTAGCCTATGCTTTTAAATGCATCATTATGCCTTATTTTTTTCCTTTTTTTTGGTTGCTTAATTCACAGCACAGACTCACTATTTCCAATTCTTTCTTCTTCTTTAGTTTTTCTTTCTTTAGTCTTGCAAGATAGTGTGGGTAAGGTATTACAACTGGTTTAGGCCCAGTTCCTCCTAACGACTTAATGTAATCAATGTCACTTTGCTTCTTACTAGTACCCTCTAATGTACTAGAGTCTAAAAAGAAAAGAGAGAAGGAGAAAAAGAGGAGAGAGAGGGGGGGAGGGAGGGAAGGAGGGAGAAAGAGAGAGGAAAATTAAAAAAGAGACAGAAAGAGAGACCAAGAGGAAGAAAGAGAGAGGTGAGATATCAGCAGAATATATTAAAATTTGAGAGACTATATATATACTTTAATGTTAAAACAAATTTTAGTGCTCTTAAAATTACAAGTTCATACACAGATTGACATTGTTAATTTCTTACTAAGTGATCTGATGTCTTTCCTCATTTCCTTCATGTTAATACCTTCAGTCTCTAGTCTTTGTTTCTGCATGCTTAGCGAATGTATCTTCATTTCGACATCATTCTAATTAAAGCACATGTTACATAGTAACCATTTGTTAATACATATACATGAAGCCATACTAATACATAATATTTCTACCTTTTCTTTGGTAATTCCTCTTCCTCTAAGTCTAGATAATCTACTCTTTCCTTTACCTTCTCTCTTTTCTTCTTTCTCTTTATCAAAAATTATAATTTCTGGAGTTCTCTTTCCTGCCATATTGTTTGGGTGAAGGAGTTAAAAATGGAATATGCTTTTGTGGTGAAGGGTGTGGCTGAAAGATTTGCAAAAATGACCCAAAGAAGAAGGCAACCATTAGTTTTGTTAGGTTAGTGTATTCATAGTTTAGCTTATTCTGTTATTCATTAACTGACTGCTTAAATAGAGAAGGAAAGACTCGCTGAGATTAATGAAGAGCTTCGTATCAGTGGCTTCTCCAATGCTAAATGGCTTGAACTTGGACTGAGTTTAGGTCTAAGTCTACAGGCACTGAAAACTATTGAGACAGACTATGGAAGACCTGGTGCTAGTCGTTGCTTGATGGAGTGTCTAGAGAAATGGCTCTCTAGAGCCGATAATGTAACTGGACCATTGTCTTGGATCACACTGGCTAATGGACTATGTAGAATTGGAGAAACATCATCAGCAGAAATGATCAGTAAATGTAAGTATTAAAATTCCCTTAATTTTGTATCAGCATTCTGCTGCATAATACGCCACATTAGTTTAATTATTACTTTCCTCATTGATACAGTATCTGATCCAGCTAGTGGGGTATTCCAGCGTTACAGTGTTAGACTGTCTGCAGTGTCCATCAGTGAGGAGTCAGTTGATCTGTTATGTACAGAGAGACTGATATCAAATGAGACCAGGACTGGAGTGGAGAGTGTTGGGGGTTTCCTATTAGGAGACACACTAAGAGAAATACGGACTTCAATAACTGAAGATCATAACAAATTGAGAGCATTAGGAGACATCTTACTGAAATCAGATGAAGCAAAGACTATAGGACAAGGCATACTAAAAGAATGTGGTAAGATGATAGTGTGAATAAACACATTGACGCACATAGCATCAGTTGTTAGTATTTTCTTAATGTTTTCAGATGAGTTGTTTCCTGAATTTGATGTTGCATCAACTTTATCTGTTGCAGTACCTCCTGCAGTCGTATCAATTGCTAATAATGTTTCATCAAGTAACATTATACTGTCGTTATCATTATTGACATTTTAATATAGACGGTAAAACTATTGCTACATCAGTAGCTACACCAGTTACCAGCAGTACCAATCAATCAACATTATCAGGTAGCAATTACTGATAGTAATGTTTAATTTTTTACAAATAGCTGGTGAGTTCTTTTTCAATGCAGCACATAAGCCAATCTTTAATGAGGTCAGAGGAAGTTTTGGTATTCTTATTGATGAGCTGGTTCCATTAATTGCTCAATCAATTCCATCAGCTGAAAAAATGAAGTCGTTCCTTCAACGATCTTTCCCTGAATTAAGTGTTGAGCTATCTAATGCTGATGACATTGACGACATCATGAGTATTATTGTGAAGAAATGTCGTGTCAATGATATTTCAATTATAAAAACAATTGTAAAACGTTTCAAAATCACTGAAGCAAACCCTTTGATATCAGAATATGAAGATGAAGTGAAGGTAGTTTGTGGATCATTAAAGGATTTCCTTAGTCAGAATCAGCCCGAGCATTTCAATGATTTTGAAACAATTCAGTTTACTTTGGGATGGGAACCAGATGAGCACTCACTTGATGACATACGTAATCTCTTAGAGGAAGCATTTAAAGAATTAAATAAGAGGATTATTGTACGAAGCATTCATCGTGGGAACTCCATCATTATCATCTGTTATGCACCACATCATTTACTAGCTGCTCTTTTCTTGGAAGCACAAGACAACCTAACTGTCTTGAAAAAGGAATTTCATTTAATTAGACTAACCATTGGCCACTACACTGTCTATGATAAAAGGATCAGATACAAAGTATAAGATACTGTAACTGTATGAGACCTTGTTTAATATTATGTACTGATTATAGGTAATGAATAATGAGTGTCTTGCAGAGGAGATTAAACTAGCTGATGGGGAGGAACAAGAACTGAGGACTTTACTTGATTACAAAGAAGGTATGTCATACACATTGCTTTCACTATAAATTAGAATTGCATAGGATCAGTTGTTAAACAAGAGAACTACATGAACATTATCAGAAAAAGAAAAGGTATTGAAGTTGTATAGTCTCTGTGGTTTAATTAGGCTAGCTTTTAACTCTGTTATTCTTACTAATTATGTTTATTGGCTTTTGTTGTGTTTCGTGGTTAAATTGCTAGCATACATACTTAATAGAAAAAACAATTATATTACATGTATTTTGTAGTACACATTGTATCTTTTTATGTAGAGTCTAAAGTGAAAGAAAAGCTACTGACTAGAGTGAAGGTGATAGATAAAATATTTAAATCGAAAAAATCAGAGACTCAGCATTTACGATTCTTTATTCAACTCAAAGCAGGTACTGACCCTACTGGTATAATCTGTCTATACTACCTCATCACAGGAAGAGAGGAGGCATTAGTAGAGTATAAGAAAGAGATTGAGCTACTACAAGAAAATATATCAAGAAGTAGTATACAACTGCTGATGAGTCAAAAGACAACTATTTGCAGTATGATTGTGGTGATTAAATTATTTTTATTATATAATTGATATTTTGTATAGAAAAGGATCAATGTATACAATTACTGGTAGTGGATACACCAACAGCAGAATCTGTATACATAGCTCGCTATGACTACCATGCATTAGGGATTAGTGGCATCTCATTTAGTGAGGGGGAACAGCTGGAAATTAAGAGTATATCGGACTCTTTTTGTCCTTATGGAAGGTCTTTGGTGTCTGGTAATAAGGGATACATTCCTAGTTGTTATGTTTACTCAATGTTGGAGTCACTTCAATTGTTAGAGTTTATACTGTCAGTCGAAGAAGTGTCCCTTCCTATTCTACAGAAGATAAGGAATGATTCATCTAGTAATGATAAGAAAGCTTCTCTTTTTTTGGAGACTATTACTGATGATCCTATCATGATAGATGCACTGAGAGAAGACAAGAGACAGCATGATAAAGGTAAGATTTGATTTGTGATTATTTTGTACAGTATATGAATGTGTATATGGAGGCTAGCATGGTGGCATATTATTAATTCTTCTTCAAATGTATATTTATGAGAAAATTTTTGCAGAATGAATGCTTTATAAAGCATTTATTAATGTATGCATGAATATGTCATTTGCTTTGTCATCATGCAGGATTTACAGCTGGGAGTGTGAAGTGGTCACAGCACAATGATAGGATATCCCTTACCTCTCCATCAACAGTTCAGTGTGATGCATTGATTAGTTTTATCAATAATAATCACAAGGAGGTTGACCTCTACTCCTCATCTACTAATAGTACAGTATCTCTACTATCATCTACTAAACTGCATATAGCAACTCTGAGGAAACTTGTGATATGGGACACTCCATTAACTAATGATTGTATCCAGTACTTGTGTATGCTACTAACTAATAATAAAACAATACAAGAACTAGACATCAGGCACTACTCCATTAGTGATAGAGGAGTTACTAATATCTGTCAAGTACTTGAACACAACTCTACACTTACCTCATTAGATCTTTATGGCAATCCTTTAATTACCTCCACTAGCTCACAGTCTCTTTCTCAGCTCATTCTCAATAACTCATCACTTAATATACTGAATCTAAGGAGGACTTCATTGTCTACTGAAGCTGTACTGCTTATCCTCCAATCTTTATCATATAATAAGAGCATTACAAAACTCAGACTAGACAAGCGACACAAAGAGACTTGTATTAATACTTATCCTAACTATCACCTCATACAAGACAGAATAATCTGGGACTAATCACTCTTAATTGTCACAGTGAATGCATTTTCATCATGAGTAAGCGACCAATCAGAATACAGCACTATTTGTTGAGCTATGATATGACACATCTTTAGATATATATGTCATCTTAAAATGTTCACTGACAGTAGCATTGCAGACTACAATACTGTATGTTATTCAAATTCTCATTTAGAAGAGAAGGCATTTTTTTTAGTTAAAATTACAAGTCAATCAGTACTAGATCTATACCTATGAATGACACATTGTACATACACATGAAGCCATAATAATTAATTTTCTGTGGTGAAGGAGTGGCTGAAGGTTTTACCTTAATTTTTTGCAAAAATGACTCAAAGAAGACGAAGACAACCATTAGTTTTGTTAGGTTAGTGTATTCGTAGCTTAGCTTATTCATTAACTAACTGGTTAATGCTTATAGATAAGGAGAGGTTAGCAGAGATTAATGAAGAACTTCGTATCAGTGGATTTTCCAATGCTAAATGGTTTGAACTTGGTCTGAGTTTAGGTCTAAGTCTACAGACACTGAAAAATATTGAAACAGACTATGGAAGAGCTGGAGCTAGTCGTTGCTTGATGGAGTGTCTAGAGAAATGGCTCTCTAGAGCAGATAATGTAACTGGACCATTGTCTTGGATCACACTGGCTAATGGACTACGTAGAATTGGAGAAACATCATCAGCAGAAATGATCAGTAAATGTAAGTGTAAACCATAATAAACTTCCCTCAATTTTGTATCAGCATTCTGCAGCATAATATGCCACATTAGTTTAATTAATACTTTCCTCATTGATACAGTATCTGATCCAGCTAGTGGGGTATTCCAGCGTTACAGTGTCAGACTGTCTGCAGTGTCCATCAGTGAGGAGTCAGTTGATCTGTTATGTAGAGAGAAACTGATATCAAATGAGACCAGGACTGGAGTGGAGAGTGTTGGGGGTTTCCTATTAGGAGACACACTAAGAGAAATACGGACTTCAATAACTGAAGATCATAACAAATTGAGAGCATTAGGAGACATCTTACTGAAATCAGATGAAGCAAAAACTATAGGACAAGGCATACTAAAAGAATGTGGTATGATGATAGTGTGAATTCCCATTGCAGTTTAATAATAATTTCTATTTAGATATTACATTTTCCAATACTATTATTGATTCAAGAGTACCAGATTCATCTGTTGTACCAATATCATCAGGTAAATGGAAATTATTATTTTCACCATTATTTGCACTATGATAGTTGAGGAAGTCTTTGTTAGTGAAGTATACAATTGTCGTTTTGATGAAGTTCGTGTCAAATTTGGTGACTTACGCTATGAAATAATACAACTAGTAGTGGAGAAAGTACCTTCAGCTGATGATATTAAGGAGTATCTTTCTTTCTGCTTTCCTGAAGTAAAGCAAGAGCTATTGTCCATTAGCACAGTAAAAGAAATTATGGGCATCATTGAGAGCAGATGCAATATTATCAATATAGTACCAATCAAAGCTATTGTTAATAAATACCACATTACTGGAGCACTCAAGATGATCAAAGATTTTGAAGAAGCAGTTGATGACTTTTGTTCAAAGATAAAGGTCAAGTTCATGCTTAACAAGAAGCTGTCACTAGCCGTCAGTTCACTAACTTGTGAGAGAGTGGAGTTTGTACTGGAATGGGAACCTGATGAACATACGCTTGATGATATTAGACGTCTCTTAGAGAAAGCATTTGAAGACTTGGGCAAGAGGATTATTGTAAGAAGCATTCATCGTGGGAACTCCATCATTATCATCTGTTATGGTCCACATCATTTACTAGCTGCTCTTCTCTTGGAAGCACAAGATAACCTAACTGTCTTGATGAAGGAATTCAGTTTAATTAGACTAACCATTGGCCACTACACTGTCTATGATAAAAGGATCAGATATAAAGTATAAGATACTGTAACTGTATGAGACCTTGTTTACTGATTATAGGTAATGAATAATGAGTGTCTTGCAGAGGAGATTAAACTAGCTGATGGGGAGGAACAAAAACTGAGGAGTTTACTTGATTACAAAGAAGGTATATGATACACACTGCTTTCACTACAAATTAGAATTGTATAGGATCAGTTGTTAAACACAAAAACATTATCAGTAAAAGAAAAGGTATTGAAGTTGTATTATCTCTTGTGGTTTAATTAATTAAGTAACTCTGTTATTCTTACTAATTTGCTTATCTTTTGATGGTGTTTTGTGGTTAAAACTACCACTTAAAAACAAGTATGTTCATGCTGTAGCATGCAATTTATCATTACTGTAGAGCGTGAATTGAAAGTGAAGCTACTGACAAAAGAGAAGTTCATAAATAATATATTTAAATCAAGGAAATCAGAGATTCAGTATCTGCAAACCTCTCTCCTAATGAAAGCAGGTACTGACTCTACTGGTATAACCTGTCCATACTACCTCATCACAGGAAGAGAGGAGGCATTAGTGGAGTATAAGAAAGAGATTGAGTTTCTACAAAACAGCGTATCTCTAAATAGTATGCAATCTGCACACTATGCAGAAAAGCTGAAGCTAAAGAAGCCAAATATTCTGAGTATGTAACTACATAATACAGTAATTAGTATTGTTAGTATCATTATACAGAGAAGCATCAATCTACACAGTCGCTGGTAGTACATTCACCATTGGCAGAATATCAGAGAGGTGATCACTTTTTCAGTGAAGAAGAGCAACTAGAGGGATACAAGGCTCACTCTTATGAAGCGTCATTAGATAAGGACCTTGTTTTTAGTAGTCATGTTTGCTCAATGTTGGAATTCATTCAATTGTTTCAGTTCATGATAGAGCAAGAAATCTCTCTTCCTATTTTACATAAGATAAGGAACGATTTGTCAAGCAATGATGAGAAAGCTTCTCTTTTCTCGGAGACTATTAATGATGATCCTATCTTGGTAGATGCACTAAGACAAGACAAGGAGCAACATGATAAAGGTAATGTGTGCTGTGTTGGAATGGAGTTTTGCTGCCTTCATGAATAGATTCATTTTCAATGTTCCTTTTCCTATTGCATGCAGATTTGCATGCTTACATTACATGCATAATTTGTTTATTTTTACATGCAGCATAATTTGTTTTTTTAGGCATCTATCAATGTGTAAACTGGTACAGTGATAGTGTATACCTTCAATCTGCATCTCCACTTCAATCTAGAGAAGTCATTAGAGAATTGAATATCAATCACAAGAAAGTATTGCTTGAACAGCTACCAACTAATAGTGTAGTATTGATGCTATCGTCGAAGAAGCTTCATGGACTAAATTTAAGGAGACTTGAGATTGATGCCACTCCGTTAACTAATGATTGCATCCAGTATTTGTGTACACTACTAACTAACAATAAACTAATACAAGAATTATTTATTAATACTCGCTCCATTAGTGATAGAGGAGTTGCTAATATCTGTCAAGTACTTGAAAATAACTCTACACTTACTGTATTAGATCGTGAAGATAATCCTTTAATTACTTCTACTAGTTCACAGTCTCTTTCTCAGCTCCTTCTCAATAACTCATCACTTAATATACTGAATCTAAGGAGGACTTCATTGTCTACTGAGGCTGTACTGCTTATCCTCCAATCTTTATCATATAACAAGAGCATAACAAAACTCAGGCTAGATTATCGACATGTATCAAGTGGTATTGATCTTAACTATTATCCAATACAAGACAGAGTAGTCTGGTGGTAACTATTAATTAAACATTTTTTAGCTGAATTTTTCACAATAATTGATAATGTGGGTGTATTTCATTAGCTCAATGGCCATGTGGTGGCATTAGTAAAAATGATAATGATTAATGTATTGATAACAAAATATATAGTTAGCCATTAAACATTTACTTTTACATATACTTTAAAAACTAATCTGTTTAATTTCATATACTGATCTAATTCTGTATGAGCTAAAAATGTTGGCAAACCATTACCCTTAGAGCTTTGAGTTTCTACATCTACTGTAGAAAATGATTCTGGAGTATGTTTATGGTATATGATGGTTTTACTATGAGGCTTCCCATTTGCATTATGTTCCAATTCAACTGTGACTTTTCCTCGAAAAGGCCATTCAGCAAACTCTTCATCATATTTCCCTTTGACAAGGCAAATATAGACAGACAGATACTGACCCTTACCATTGCCACAACCATATGGATGAACACGTAAGCGCATCTTATAAAAGCCAGCATAAAACTGTGGACTTGAATATACCTCTTTTGGAACTTTCCCTTGAGCAGAAGGAAAGTTCAAAATGTATGTACAACTTGGCTTTTCTTTCATGATAGGTTTAGCTGGACAACCTGGATTAGCCTTAGCTTCACCAACAATGTTTTTGCTAGCTGCATTGTCACCATGTTCTTTACTTTTGTTTTTCGCCGATTTTTTGGCTACGGTGACTCCAGCTGCAACTGGTGGTGGTTCAAGTGGCTTTTGAATGAGTGGTGCTGTAGTCTCCGCTTTCTTTAAAACCATGTCCATTTTCCCCTCCATGTTTGCAACTGATGGTGGTTCAAGTGGCTTTTGAATGTGTGGTGCTGCAGTCTCTGCTTTCTTTAAAATTATGCTCATTTCCTCTTCCATCCTTTTTTGTAGCTCAGACATTCTGAGATATAGATCTACATGATCACAAAAAATTACCTCAAGATCAGAAATCCTCTGGTCTAGTGACAAAATTGTTTCATTCTTTTCCTCAATTTCATTCTTTAGGTCCCCTATCTCTTTCATGCATTCATCAATTTTCTCTTGAGATAACTTGTACAGTAAATTGATTTCCTCATCCTTGTCTATCCTCAGGTCTCTAATGTTCTCCTTGCATCTGTCAATCCTCACTTGAGCTGATTCAACTTGATTGCTTAACTCTTTGTTACTCTTGTCTATAGCATGCTCCATCTTTTTGCTCAATTCCTTCCTGCAGTTGTCTATATCAGATTGAACTCCACTGATATCTTCCATGCACTTCTGTATCTTCTCTTCAGTCATTTCAACCTTGATATCACAATGCCGATCACACATTCTGCTAAAGTGGCTAATCCAATTGTCACGGAAATGTTTCTCATGGTCTTCACGTGGTCCTTCCCAAGTACAGCCATACTTGTGGGCCTCGCATACGACAGTAGCTTTAGGACATTCAAATCCTTCATGTCTCTCCATTTCTCCTCTTGGAATAATCTTGCCACACAAACAAGTAAGAGGACACAGTGAACACTCATCAATATGTATCTCATGCAACTCAAGCCAGCTGCAATCTACGCCACAATGCTCACAATTTGCTGGACGGAAAGGACATTCTTCCTTGCGGTGTTTGTCAATTTGACACTTCAGCACATCATTGCTGCAAGCACTGCACTGGATGTTTACATACAAGCAATCATTTCTATGACTTCCAAGTTCTCCTAGATCACCTTTCCAAGCACAACCCTCGTTTTTCTTATTGCAGTAAACTTGCAGCGATAAGAGGGTCCTCCGAAGACCCTTGTCTGTGACAGCTCGTAAAATACAGCGACATTCAGGGCACTGTGTTATCCTACTTGTGCATGAGCCACAAAAATGATGGCCACAGTCAATATTGATAAAAGGATCTTCGTGTAAAGGGGCAAAACATATAGAACAAGTAGTGTCTAGACCTTTGGGTAGTGCATCCACATAATGAGGCTCATCAAAGTCAAAAGAGGTTATGTCAAAGTCTACAACCCGGTCAACCATGGAAGAGGAACAAGAATCGTAAGAATTCGACGCCATAATTAAAATTTGGGCGTGGCTACCGGTAGCCCACGCCCATACCACGCCCAAATAGGTGTGGCATTCTCACGTGTAAACTTCAAAAAATTAAGAACTAAAAATGCAGGGACACCTAGGAGTCAGTAAGTTTATTCCTCTCTTCTTTTCTGTCTCATTTGTCCTATTTCTTTCCTCTTTAGGCTCAGCTACTGGTCAGCCTGGACTAGGAGGAGGAATAGGTGTGTATGTTGTAATCATAAAATCAATAATAATGTTATAATAGTGATAATTGTAGAGTTTTATCTGGTACTTGACAATAATTACAGCAATAATTATTTTAAAATGTAAACAGTTGCTGACGTAGAGTACTACATACATTAAGAAGATAATTTTGAGGCATTGGTTTTACAAACAAATACTGTATAGCGGTTTTTTTCGAGGATAATGAATTTTGCGAATGACCTGTATCCGAAAATTTGCGGAATTAGATTTCGTGAATTTCCACTATTTTACCATCTTGTACCGTATTAAATTGATTTTCAAGGAATTTAATTTTGCGAATCTTGAAAAATCCACGAAATTTGCAAAATTTGTTATCCTCGAAAATAACCCACTATACGGTACATGTTCATAATTTATTGTAATTTAAAAGTGTGTGGGGAATGAAATATATTAATCTCTTTCTTTTTTTCCAGGTGGTGTTGGATTGACTGCTGGTCTCAATTTAGGAGGAGGGGCTAGACCGACTAATCTTGGGATCGGAAAACCAACTGGAACTGGTACGAAATTATGAGAATTCAAATTTTAAATTTTTTCCAAAATTGAAAGCTACTTCAATCAACCTTGTTGTTACACTTTCACAGATCTACCAAAAATATAATTTCAATGTCACAAAATGTGTTCAGCAATTCAATTTTTTATAGCCTTTTTTATCAATAATTGTATGTATGACTATTAATTAATAAGTTAATTAATTTATTATTTTTTAGGTATTGCTCAAACTAATGTTGCTGGTTTGGGTAATATGGGGCGTGGCCTAAACACAGCTGGTATAAATCCAACTGGTTTAGGAGGTAGAGGAACAGCTGGATTAAATATTGGAGGAACATTGGGTGCTGGAACATTGGGTGGTGGAGCACTGGGCGCTGGAACATTGGGCGCTGGAACACTGGGAAGAGGAACATTGGGCACTGGAACACTGGGCACTGGAACATTGGGTGGTGGAACATTGGGTGGTGGAACATTGGGTGGTGGAACACTGGGAAGAGGAACATTGGGCGCTGGAACATTGGGTGGTGGAACACTGGGTGCTGGAACACTGGGCGCTGGAACATTGGGCGCTGGAACACTGGGTGGTGGAACACTGGGTGGTGGAACATTGGGTGCTGGAACACTGGGCGCTGGAACACTGGGTGGTGGAACACTGGGCGCTGGAACTTTGGGTGGTGGAACACTGGGTGCTGGAACTTTGGGTGGAGGAACACTGGGAGGAGTGGGTGGAGCCGGGAGAGGAATGGGCGGTGCATTGGGTGGAGTTGGGGGAGGTGCTAGTGTATTAGGTGGATTGTCATTAGCAGGTGCCCAAAAAGGTAGCAAGAAGTTTATTTATTACTATTATTATTGTTATTATTATTACTAGGTACTGGTAATCAAGGTATATTTACGACAGGTTCAATGAACCAATCCTCCAACCAGCAGCAGCTAATTAATAATCAATTATTACTGAGCTCAATCACTATGCCGGCACTATTTGGTGATGAGAGAGACATCATTATTAAGAAGTTCAATCAGCTTGAAGCTTATTGTGGTACTGGGAAAGGTATTACATGTTACGGTGGACAGCTGGTTTTTGTGGAGTTCCCTCCTAATAATCCTTTTGCTAGATTTAAAGTAAGAGGAGGGGGAGAGAGGAGGGAGGGAGAAAATTATATTAAATGCTTAAAATTATTTAAATCCTGACCACTTGCATTACTTCCAAGTCTCCTGAGAAAGTTATTTAGCCCCTTGACCATGATTTAATTTTGTTGACTTTTTTATGCATTATATTTCAGCAAAAATTAGTAGTTAAGCTATATACACTTCTTGACATGAGTGATTACTCCTCAGAAGTGTTGTAATCTGTTGAATTATAGAGGCTGTGATCGTTGAAAATGATCGAAAAGATTGTGGTTGGTTGTGTAAAATTAAAGAATCAATAATAAAGTGTCAATCAGGAAGTATTTTGAGAGCCATTTTGGGGAATTGGCTTCAAATACTCAAGTCATTAACATCAGTATTTTTTTGTATTAAGCCATTGAGGTTGCCTTTACATAGCATTTGCATTTAGCAAGGTTCAGAAATAGTGCACAAAAATTCATGTACATGAAATTGATTACATTTATTGAATTTTTGTTCATATCTGAGCAAAAAAAATTAATTGCTATAACTTTCAAAATAAACTAAAAAACTAAAAAATCCTAAAATACTAATGTAGCTATGTATGTACATGTACATTGTATGTCTAAATTAGTAAAGTCTCAAGCAAAAGTGTTATATTCTGAATCTGGATTAGTTATCCCCACAGTCAAATGAAAAAATTTATCAAATAACGATATTTTTAAGTTGCTCTTTAAGAACAGTGCAGGATAAGTAACGAAGCTTCCAACAATATCTTTTAATTTTTTTTCAGCAGCTGCTCTATCCGCTTCTATCAGTCCAGGAACCTTTCGCCATTTTTTAAGATCATCAAGTGTATGAATGTCATTCTTCTGCTCCACTTTCCCTCCAAAAACTTCCTCATAAATTTTAGTGTTTGCCGAGGCTATTTTTTGCAACTTTGTAAAGAAAGATGGCAAGACAGGGTCTTCAACTTTAATATCAGAAGCAGAATATTTCTCATCATCAAGGAGGGTGAGGTGCTCACGGAAAAGATGACAACGAAGACTATGAGAGAACTTTCCGACCTCAAACTCCTCTCCGTTCATAGTCCCTGGCTCCATTTGAGTGTCTTCAATGATCAGACACATTTCTGAGTCTCTGTCACCCAGCATACTCCTGTCATTGATATTAGCTGATCCTATTACACTCACTCTATCATCAACTATCATTATCTTACTGTGGACATATATAATTTCAGTAACCACCTGATCTCCCAGTCGGTCGTATTTACGTAGCCCGTATATTGAGAAATATTGAGGTATTTTTTCTTCAGGTATTCCGCTATCCATCAGTCGGTTGTACAGAGAGTTCTCACCAGTCTGGACTGTGGAATAAATCCGGTAACTGACTCCTCTCAAGTGATCATTATCTTCCCAGTTACCTGAAAAATCTGGTTTTAATGGCATCACGACAATAACGTGAAAGCTCTCGTTGTTATCGTGAGCTCTAATGATTCTCTCAGCTAGCTTCTCCATTATAGTATTCTCTATGTCAGGAGGCTGTGACGATATGAAGAACTGGTTCTCAATATAAATAAAATGCTTAGCAGAGGAAATGAGTAAGCAATAAGCATCATGAATGGAGTGTTCCAGTGGTTGACCTGTTACCCACTCAGCCACTGATCGAACCAGTTGTACTTTAACCCCAGTAGCAGTTGGATCAGATATTGTATGATAAGGTCCTCCTATATCTCCAGGTGATAGCTTTATAGGGTTGAAAAAGAATTTTAAGAGTCCTTCTTGAAGTAAGTTGTATCGCTGAATAAAATGTGTTACAGCATCTTGAACTGCTGGACCAGTAAATGTCACCGATACGTCATGATATGGTAGTCTGTGATCTTTCTCTCTGTCAAGATGGTCTTTCAACGGGTCGGAGTAATCAGTGATGTCTTTTATGAAGGAATTACGATAATCTTTCCCAATCCATCTTCTATATTGCTGTCCATTATCACCAGATGTAGTAGATTCTTCAGTGTCTATGGACGGGTGCAGTGGATAATTATCAGTCAATGGATGACTGTGTGTGTCCCAACGTCCAAAGCAGAGGTCTATCCCACTCACAAATGCTATGGATCGATCAGCTACTAGCACTTTCTCGTGATTAGTCCAAAAACCTAGCTGGCCAATGTCTGTACTAACATGCCTATTAGAATAGATATGAATGTTCTCATGTTTGAGTGTTGCTATAGTTTCTTTTACTCCTAGATTAAAGCGAATCAAAGGATAATCAGCATCTTGAAACAGGAGTATGTATATCTTGACACCAGCCTCTGCCTTCCTTAACAGCATTTGATCCAGCCTCCAGTAGTTGTTGTCCACTCCATTATCTGATCTCTTCATGAATATATGAGGATTGAGTATATGATCTATGATGAGGATCTCTTTGGATGCACTCTCTATAGCATCAGCAATAGCTGACATGTGATCCTTACCATCTACAAACCATTTCACAACAGCTTCTTCATGTACTGGAGCAAAGGACCCATAGCGGTGTTTAGATTCCTCCTCTTCTTGTGGTGTGGTCGAGAAGGAAAATGGTTGTGTTGATTCGGTAGAGAATATTGATAGGTCCGCAGAGTCTTGATCCTCTAGTTCTCTCTCTTCCTCATTAGAACTCTCTAGCCATGAGATTCTTGGTGGGACACAGAATTCTTGTGGGATATCCACAGCTTGAGGATAAGGAACAGAAGATAGAAGCAAGAGAATAGAAATGATTATGAACTTCATGATAGGGTCGTTTAACTATAATTAAAGTTAAATAGCCTAATCTTCATTGAAAGCGGGTGTGGTCACAATGACTAAAATGGCAGCCATTAGCAAGTCTGTGCTCATTTGCAGCAAACAATCAGCAAGATAAAGGCTGATTCGTCCACACTGCAAAATTAACGTAAGGTAGGCTATATGTTAAGACAGGAAGT